TTTTCTTTTCTTTCTTATCCTGACTGTACCACTTACTTCTTCAGAATCCACAAGAGCCCAGGCCTCTGAGGTCCTTCAGCCCCACCTTGTCATGGAGCTCAGAAGCTCGAGTCCAGACTGTCTTCAGTAAGGTGCTGCTGACAATTCTTTGAAAATTCAGCAGCCCTAGGACAAGGTAACTGTGACAGCCTGGTCACCCTCGTCTGTCACAAGAAGTAACAGCTTTTGGAACTGGCCAACTGCTAGGCCATTTCAGCAAATCCACACAAACCTGCTGCTCTCTCTGTTCTTTGAAGAGTTCTGGGTCTCTCTCCTACCAATTGAGAATCCCTGGTAAAGCTTCCTGGAGGGCACATGCCTGAGTCCTTGCAATATTTGGCCCAGCCTGTTTCTTACCATGTCTGAGTTAAGATCCCTCTGCTGGTATCAAGAAGATGGAAGGTAGAGGTTTCATGCAGTCAAGCTCATGCGAGCACATGTTGCTGTCAGCTGTGCTCAGGGGCAGGCCCCAAGGAGCTGGGATGACAGGAGAACACAAGGCTGCCTCAACACACTCATTAAAACTTATGCCACATAGTTGGAGTGAACGTTAGAGTTGTATTCATGAATTTTGTAGGGAAAGAGAAAGTAATACAGACAGGGATTTCTGCACTACAAAGCATGGCTGCAGAGAGGAAATACTGCTTTGAAAAATGAAATTCCTCTGTCCTAGCCTGACAGCCATTTAGCTCCATGATCCAACTTCCTCCCTGTGTCAAGGGCCTGTGTTTGGAGCAGACTGGACTGCACATTTTCCTCTGCTTCCATTTATTCCATCCATGTGTTCTTTCTGCCACATTTGTGTGTGGTCTTTCTTTTCAACAGCATCTTTTTCTACATTAGCAATGAAGTTTTATTAATTAAACATAAGTAAAGCAGTTGTGCTCCACCAATTGCCAACCAATAGCTTTCCAGAGCATCATCTTTCTATTGTGAATATGTTCAAGTGGTTAAAGTTAGGATCAGATTGGCCAATAAAACAGAAACTGCTTGCCACCCGGTCCGCAGGTGGATGGGGACCTGTAATCTGTGCAGATCATGAACATCCCAGGCGAGTCCCAGAGAATACAGGGTGCACTGAGCTCTGACTCTGCAGAGGCCAAGCCACAGCGCACCTCACTGCATTTCTCAGTGCTGCCCCAGGGGATGGTAGCCCCTGGCTCCTCTGTGTCCTGGGTTCTCTGAGGACAGGAAGGCAGTGAGTGCTGCCTGCTCCTCTGTGCATCTGGATGGCAGCTGGTGCCGGGGACTCTCTGAGTGCTCTTCACTGCCCTTCATGATGGTCAGTTTCTGCAACGGCTTTGCAGGTTATGTGATGCCCAGAGAGCCAGCCAGGAATGATCTCCAGGTGTCAGGTTGTCCCCTTATAAGGCAAAGGGCACAAGCATTGTGGGGTTTTAGTAAATGCTTGATTAATAGACAAATGCCCACGTGAACATGCTCATTATTTTTTCCAGGGGACTTTGTTCTAGTTGTTACTACCTTTGTAATTATGCTTCATGTATTCACTCTGCACTTTCAGGGATTGGACAGTGTCTTGTTCTGCTGAAATGTTTCTGGTGTATTTTATTTATCGTAAAGTATAGATTTCAGATTCTTCTGTGCACAGGCCTGATTCGGGAACGTATTTAATAAATAGCTGCTGAGACAGTGAAATGGATCCGTAGAGCAACTCGCCAGCTGAGTTTTACTTTTACTCTATTGTTCAGACAGTGAGCATCTGTCCCCCTCCACCCCACTGCTGCTGTCCCAACTCTCTGACCTCCTCAGATAGTAGCAGCTGCCTGAAGAGCAGAGAGCTTGGGCACAGCTGAGGAGTTCGCGTCAAGAACCCTCAGGGCCCGAACCCCACAAGTGGCACAGGTGATCTCAGTCGCTCAGACTGGAGGACAGAATCGGCTGTGATTGACGTTGGGTGCTGCCTGCCCCCCAGCCTGGCTGCTGTGGTGTTAGGGTGCCTGTGACAGTTTGTGACAGGAGGAGGTGTTTTTTATCTCCAGGAATCAATCATCTGGCAGCCCTGAGCACAGTGGAGATGCTGCCGCTGACCTTGGACCCCGAGGCCGTGCTTCCCAGACTCGCTTCCCTGAGCTGGCTTTCACGCTGCATCCTGTGTTTGCATTTTTCCTCAGGGATCATAATATGTCCACCTTTAGATGGCTTCCCTATATGCATTTTGTTTTGCTTGTTTTGTTTTATAACATGATTCTGTTTTGCCTCACTCAAGGCAGATGAGAACATTCTCAACTGTTTTCATGCTCCCTCTCCTGCCTGTACAGGAGGAAGCTTCAGAAAAGCCCACAGGGACATCAGAAGTCTGCCAGGATGTCAGGTGGTTGACAGGTGGAAAAATGAGCCAACTCTGATTAATCCTGCAACTTGTATTTGCTTAGAATTTAAAAAGAATTTCTATTTTAAAAAAGTAATGGAGAAACAGTCCTGACATAGGTTTTACAAACAACTTCTTAAAATGACCAAGGAAGGAGATGACCTTCTTTTGCACCCAGATGTGCTCAGCGCTGGCCTTTTTAGGGAATCTTTCATCCTTGTGAGGCTGTGCTGGGCAGGAGGACACCGACCTCTGTGTCTCTGCAGTCCCTGCTGCGGTCTGCACGAGGCTGCACGGCGTTACCTGCTCCTGCCTGATGTCTGAGCTGTTCCACATTCGGTCTGCAGAACACTGCCCCAGCCACGCACCGGGGTATCTGAGGAACCAAAACCAAAGAAGGAAAGTTCGTTAGTCACCAAGAACACACAATTTAACAAAATATGTGGCTTTATAAGCAGATAGTGTTAAGAAAATCTCATTCCAGGAAAATTCCACATAAAGAAAACAGAAAACAAGGGAGACATTGCTGTGGAGGCCCGATGAGGAGTGGCTTTTGGAAAGACACTCAACACTCACAGGCAGAGCACTTCCACTCTTTCACATCATCTCTCTCCTCTTTGTGTGGTCACGGAATCAGCATCACCTCTCTCCTTGGTGGCTCATCCATCATGATACTACAGGTGGAGGTAAAATACATAGTTTTGTGCTTGACTTGCTGGTTTATACTCACATAGCACCCTCCTACTAAAAGCTGTCTCCTAGAAGCCTCTTGAGGTAATGTATTGTCTCCCTACAGGCAGGGACCTGGGTCCTAAATGTTAAGGCCCTGTCTCAGCAGCAGGAGCTTCTGGACCTCAGATTCAATCAGAAAAATCAAGAAAGGAACAGAAAACCAGATTTCTTGATTTAAAACCACATGTTATGAGTACTGTTCTTGTGCACTGGGAAAAAACACTACCCTAGATTCAACATGGATTGTTTTTCCTTTACACAAAGAAACAGATGAGACATCTTAAGTTCTGGCAAGGCCCATCACGATAGAATGGGGCATTTATGACTGCACAGTGAGTTGGTGAGCTATATTCTTGGGCCACTGAGTCTTGAGTGAGCAGTAATGCAGATGAGGCTGATGCCCTCAGGGGCTGCGGTCCACGATCCTCAGGGTGCTGGGGCTGCAGGGTAGCAGGAGAGGCCCTGAGCCATGAGACAGGAGGGCGTGGGCTGGGACTGAGTTGCCAGGCTGAATGAGGCCAGCAGCCCCTGCTGCATGTGAACAATCACCCTGCTGTGACCCCAGAGCTTCTCCCTGCTCAAATCTCCAGGCTGCTGCAGTGGCTAGCGCACGGCAGAGGGCTTCGCCCTCACAGTTAGTGCCCTTGGCCACAAAGGGAGCCCTAGAGTGGCCCTGGAGGTCTCTAGAGACGGCTCTGCCCCTGCTTAGCTGTGTGGCTTGGGAACATCCCCTCCTCTTAATTTTATTTTCCGCAACAATCAAATGCCTGAGCGTGGGCATGGACATCATTGTACCTCACCCTGTGCCAACTGTGGGTTCTTGGCATGTGTCAAGTGGGTTCCACACTGGCTGCCCTCGCCCCATGGTCACCACAGGCACCCAGATAAAGCCAGCCCTGCTACCTGGTGTTTTGTTGGACAAAGGATGTGGAGCAGGGGTGCTTCCATCTCCCTCCCTGACCAGGCTAAACCATGGCAGCAGAGTGGAGGGCCACTCCGCCCATGCAGATGAGCAGCCTGCACTGTGGGGACTGGAGGGAACCCTAATAAACTGGGATTGTCCCTGATCTGTGATAGATTATTTTAAAAGCTACAGGAACTTTGGACTTTAAGGAGGGCTGAGGATTTGGCTCAGTGCCATGAGGTCATGAGTTCTATCTCCTGTCAGGAACCCTGATCAGTTGAGCTAAGCCGATGGTAACAGATTGCTGGACTGGGTAGGAGCGCAGCTGGCTCAAAAAATGGCTAAAGTGAGGGCTGAAGATTGGTAGCCAAGAGCCAATGAGTGGATGCAGCATCACAGGGTCTGAAGGAATCAGGGCGCCCTGGGCCACCTCCTCCAGGAGTGCCCAGGAGCCAGGCTGGAGGAGGAGTAGGGTACAGAGGGACCTCAGAGCGTGGGGCTGCGGTCACGCAGGCCATGTCCTCTGATTTGCTTATCCACTCATTTAGTTCCTGTTGCCTGAGGGAGACATTGTTAAGCCCCAGGCTAACCAGGAAGAATTTACCTCTGATTTTATTAAAGGGTCGGAAAGAAACATTCTGAAAACATGATGCGGAAATCTGAGCAAAGATTTGGGGTTAAGTGGAGAAGAGGTGTGTGTTTCGGAGAGGGGGAGTCTGCAGTGTCCGGCAAGTCTGAGGAGGGCTTGCGGTTCAGGGCACAGAAGAACAGGATGGAGGCGAGGCAGGGGCCTGGCCTCACCGGCCATTAGAAACCGGGGCTGCCTCGAATGAGCTCCTTGAAGGCTGTGCTGCAGAGAGCATTTATAACCCTATGGTGCTTCACTTCTCTCTACTTTGTAAGTGTATTTTATCCAGTGTTCCCCGTGAACACAGAGGGAAGGGCACCATTTATGGAGCAATATCAGGCAGAAAAGGAGTCAGTATTCTGAAGATGTCTCGCACTTCATTGTTTGTCTTTAATCATCAAAGGAAAATAAACATGAAGTTGCTGCTGTGCACAATCTCTGTGCAATCCCGCTTCCGGAAATGCTTTTCTCATTTGATTTCACCCCTTCATTTGCTGTTTTGACAAGCACAAATATCTTCTCATTGTGTGTGTTTGCAGTTGGATACATTATTTAAATTAAGGCACATTAGCATTTTATCCTGAGCTACAAGCAATATTATGAATACATCACTCTTCCAAAATTAAATAAAACAATCTTGGTTTGTCCTTTAGCTTGTTTGTCAGCTAATAAAAAGTAAATATCTGTAGTGTCTTTGTGCAGCCAAGGCTTCACATTCTGTGGCCAGACACAGGTTCATAATTTACATTTGTTTTATTTTCATGAGCAAAATACCCTGTAAGAGACCCAGGAAGTAACATTCGTCTATGACTACATCTTTGCTTTTGTATCTCTGTCCAGGAATCCAGAGGACCCGGGAGACCCCCTCCCCACCACAGGCCCCTTGTGCAGATCTGATCTGCTTCAGTTATGAATTTATGCCTGAAATGTCCCATGTGTACCAAAGAGCAGATTAAAATTTCCATGTGGCTTGTGAGATTGGGGTAGGATAGAGGACATAAAGAAGGGAGGAAGGAGACAAGGAAAATCATAATTTATGAACTGTGCTTTTAAGGAGACTGTGACTGTGCACACAAAGCTCCCCAAGGAGGTCCTGACCAGGACTCCCAAGGCCTGGTTATGCTTCTTTTCATCCAGCACCACCTTATCTGGGACCTCAGCGAAGACCTGGTGCTCCTGTTTGGTGCTACGATGCAAGACTGCAAAGAAAAACTCAGGGAGAAGATAAAAGTGAAATGGGGAGCTGGGGGGGGGGGTCAGTGCTCAGTGCCAGATCCGTGGTATTTCCTGGCTGTAGGGTCTACAGGATGGGGTGAGGTTGCTGGAGGTAGGATGAGATCTGGCAGGTGTATGAAGGAAAGAACAAAGCACCCTTCCATCAGGAGCAGAAGAGACCAGGAAGAGGCCATGGCTAGCGACTCTTCAAGTACAATTAGCCACAGGGCTGGGTGGAGCTAGCTGTCCTCAGCCGTCATGTCCTCTCAGTACGAGTCCCACAGTTTCGCAGACCATACCTCTGGTCTCTTCTGTGGCCGTTGGTGGGGAATGACACCAAGCATCATGCTAGGCAGTACTCTCATGAGTCATGAGACATCGTGTACATGCTACCAAAGGACACATTAGTTGAGAAAAATTTAGCAAAAGTTATTCAAGACTCTTGTACAGTGAACACCACAAAACATCATCTGGGCTTAATGAGGATCTCAATAAATTGCCAGGAGCTCTGGTCTGGGAAAACTTTATTAGCCCCTCTTCTCTTGTCCCCTTCTGGTACCAGTTATTTCCTAATAGATGTCACTTTTTAGAGTGGCTTCATTTTTCACAGCAAAACTGAGAGGAAGGTGCTGGGCTATGAATCTCTTTATGGACCCTGTTATATTTCTGTGAGATATAGATAGGTGGATATGTGGATATGCATTAGTTCATCAAACTCCATAGGATGTTAGTATGTGTATCATATATACATATAAACTCATGGTCTTCACTGATACATCTTCAGTTCAGGTAGTGAAACTTCCACACTGCTCCTCTCATTTTGAAAGTCTTTGCATTTTTTTCCTTTGAATTTCAATACAGTAGGCTCGCTGCTACTGCTCCAGACATTGCATGCTGTGGCCTCCGTCTCTGGCTTCTTCACGTAGCAAATGTTTTCAAGGTTGGAGTCTGTCATGCCCCGGTGTTACTCGAGGCCTCACTGTTCTTCGGGGCTGAATCCTACCCACTACGTGGAGATGGTGCCATACTTGCTGTCTCATTTTGTGGCCACCTGAGTTCCTTCCACTTTTGGCATGTATGAGTCATGCTGGGATGGTGCCTTGGTGGAGATAACATTTTCACCCTCCTGGGTGTACACCGCAGGCCACCACAGGCTACCACAGGCCACCACAGGGCACCCGGCACCTGCAGCTGCACAAGCCGTCATCCTATCCCATCCCCCATGATGGCCAAGGTTAGCTTTCTCCACATCCTACTCGAGTCTCTTCTTGATTTTTAAGCAACTTTTCCAGCCAGCATATTTCATTGTGCTTTTAATTCGTGCTACCTTGATTAGTACTGATGTTGAATGTCTTTTCATGGATGTATCAGTGATTTGTATATCAACAAATATCTTTGGAATCCTTTGTCTATTTTTAATTGGGTTGTATTCCTTTTTTTCAACAAATTGTAAGACTTCTGTCCTTAAATGCTGGATACTACAACCTTATCAGAAATGCAATTTGTAACTTTTTATTTTGTATTTTTTCTTATTTGGAACATAAATTTTGGATTTTGATAACATTGAATTTATTTTTTAATATGGTTGCTTTTGCTTTTGGAGTCTAAGAAACTATTGTCTAAAAGGTCACACTGCCTTGTTAAATGTTTTACAGTTTTAGCATCCACATTTAAATCTTTGATTCATTGAATTAAAAACTTATACATGGTGTGAGGTAGGGTTCCAAACACCCTCTTGAGCTTGTAAGTGTCTAGCTGTCTCTAAACCACGTGTTATGAAGATTATTCTTCCTCATTGATGATCCTGGCTTCCAAGTCTTACTAGTGATCTTGGCTTTTTTCTGGATCCTGAACTCCAATTTCTGATTTCTTGCTCTTTTTCAATTATGTTTATTCTTAAGTGTTCAGTCTACTCTTTAGTCTGTTACTCTTTATTCTATTCTTTAATTTGTTACTAATAGAGTTGAGTTTGTTTCATTTTCATGTTTTTCACAGCTAATGCATATAAATGCAACAATGAGGTTTTAGATAATTTGTCATCCATAAACTTGTAGGACTTGCAGGACATTTTATACATAAATTCATGCTGAATCCAGTAGTGGCAGTATCCCTTCTTGCTTGCTAAAGTGATCTGCCAGAAGTGGTCTTTCTCTTTTTCTTTCTTGGCTAAGGGCCCTGATTAGAACTTCCAGCATGATTCAAAAAAGGAGGTATTGGAAGTCACAGTCCTCTCTCATGTCTCAGTGAGAAACTTCCCCTTTAAGTTAATAACTCTGCTTCAGCTCTTCAGTAGAAGCCCTCTTTGTCTTTCTCCTGGCTGGGGATTTAGCTCAGCGGCATAAGCGCCTGAGTTAAGTACTCAGTCATGAGTTCAATCCCTGTTACCGCTAAAAAAAAAAAAAAAAAAAAAAATTAGTATAATATCAAAATTAGAACTCCAGGAGGCGGGCTCAGTGGGCAGTGCCCGGGTGCTTTCCTCAGGACCGCAGGACTGCCGGCTGGTTTAGGGGTGCTTTCTCTCACTCACTGTTCTACCATGCATCGCACTCGTTCCCCCAGCCCACGTGGTTCACCTTGTTCTCATTCCTTTTGTCCCTGTTCTTCACAGCCCTGAGCATCTGTGGACCCCACGTGCCAGAGCTACATGGCCCTTACCCCCAGGGGGATCCTTCGCTTGTCCCCTACTTGCACCGGTAACCTGACCATTCGGGCTCGCGAACTCATCTTTTCAAAGGTGCTGGATGGTTGTGTCCTGGGACGAGTGCTTCCACCTGGGATTGGAAAGAAAGGCTCAGCTCTGCCTGCCTCAGCCCTCCAAAACACCCAGGGTCCCCTTGGGCAGGGAGGAAGGCAGCGCCCAGTCTGGCCAGGACTGAGCTGCGTTCTGAATAAATGCTGCTGGGTGGTGAGAACTCGGCTGGCCTTCAGAATTCTGAAAATGCTGGTCACGACCTGTCCCCTCCCTGTCATTACTGAGGCATGGGGACATTCTCACTGTCCCTGCTGATGTGACCTCCCAAAGCTTTGCATCTATGCTCATGAGATCGTTGGTCCCTAATTTTTTTTTTTTCTGGAAAAATCTCTTTGCATCTCAGTTACAGATAGGATCTTACCACTCCTTGTGAGTTCAGCTGTATTCCGTTCTCCTACTCTTGAAGAGATTTTACAGAATTGGCCTCACATTTCCATTTTTAAATGCCAGATGGAAATACAGAGTGAAATCCCGTGTGTCTGCAGCAGTTTTTGTGGGAAGTTTATTAACTGTAAATTCCAAATCTAGTTCCTTTAACAGAGAAGCATACTCTGGACCATCTATTTTCTTTAAATCACTTTGGGTAACTTTTTATTATTCAAGATTATACTCACATGGGCTCATTCCTTGGCATAAGACTATCACATCTCTTTTATACCTACAGAATAATTAATGATACAGTATCTTCTTAGCCTGTATTGGCAATTTGTGACTTCTTGTCATTTGTGTTGATATTTGCAGAAAACCAGGTTTTTGGTATAGTGTATTTTGTTAGTGTTTTTCTGATACTGTTTTCATTCATCTTTGATATTGTTTATTCATCCTCTTTTGCTAGGTATTGACTTGATATGCTATTTCCCCCCCTAGTTTTTCCTCAGGAAGCTTAAATAATTAATGTAAAAACTTTTCTTTTTCTGTAAGAAAGCCACGAGGCACACATTTAGAGCTATACTCTTCCTTCTAAAAACTACTTTAAATACATCTCCTGAATTTTGGTGTGTTGTTGTTTCTCTTTGCTTCTAGTTTTCTCTGTCATATCTGTGACTCGTGTGTGTTGAGTTTATCTTCTAATTTCAAAATGTGAGGCATTCATGGGTCAGAACTGGGGAACCTGAGTGGTGTGACTCAGGTGTCACTGATTTCCTAGGTGTGCTTGAAAAGCCCTTGAGTCTCTTGGCTGGAGTGTTCCGGGATTCCAAGGTTCCCCGAGGAAATCTATGTGCAAAGCCACATGTCAGGAAATCAGCACCAAAATCAACAGTAAAAACTCAGGGGAGTAATGAGCCCAAGCACTCCGGAGCCAGGAGGGCCAGCCCTGCGGGGGACGCAGTTTCCCACCAGCAAGGTCTGCAGCAAGTGGTCAGGGATGCTTTTGAAGGAGGAGAGGCCAGCCGGGGGTCTAGGCCTCAGGGGTGGCACATGGTGAGAGGACAGGCAGCCACTTCCTGTATTTCCCTCCCCTTCCCCTTATCTTTCAGGATCAGAATCTTTGACAAGGGCCTGAACTGTGGGTCCCAAGTGTGACCGAGGAAGGGTGCTGGGAAGGACGGGTAACTGGAGACACTGGCCTTCCACTTTGAGGCGCATCAAACCTGTTCCTTCTGGGGTCTCAGCTCAGAGACACTGATGTGGACAAGAGCTGACCTGTGAGCTTGGCTCGTTTCTGCCCAGGCTGTGCTGTGCGGCCTGCCAGCCCAGCCTGGGGAGCACATGCAGCAAGCGGGTCCCCGAGGGCTGGCACTGCCCCGCTGGGGCTCCCAGGTTCCTGGACGAGAAGGGAGGGATGAGATTAGGACAGAGATGGTGAGGTTAAATGTGTCCCTCAGTAACTCAGAAAGAAACACAAGACATGAGTTTGCTTTCCCATCAATTCTTATTGTTTGATAATATTATTATGTACTTTTCTTGATTGAATGTATGAAGCCCTCTGAATAGAAACGTCTCAAAATTCAAACATTAATTATGTAAAAGTGAAAGTCTCTCAAATTATAGCAGCACCCAAGAAATAATTATTGTGTAACATTTTATATTTACCTTTTACTTTTTCTGGAATACTTACAAGTATTATGCTTTTCCTTAAGAAATGAATTATACATAATATGCTGTCGAGTGCATTGTCTTCCTTTTCATGATTCGGCTTGGACGCTATTCACATTAGGATGCACAGCTGCTCACAGTTCTTCCCAATGCAGAGCAGAAAATTCCTGTAAGAACCTGCTGCAACTTATGATATTTTATTAAACTCTATCTGATGAATATTTGAATTATTTCTAATATGTCACTAGCATAAATAGTGCTGCATACCTTGTACATATTTTTAGATACTTAAGGAAAGGTTTCTAGACGATAAATTGCTGAAAATTTATCCCACAGAAATGCCAGGTTATAAAATAGATAGTTTTAGTATTTTATTAGACATTACTGAAATGCTTTTAAAAACATACATCAATTTATTCTACCATTCAGATTGTGGAAGAGTGCCCATTTCTCCACAGATTTCCAGTAAAAGTATTACCTTGTTCATGCTTTTTAAAAAAGTAATTGGCCAGAAGTAACATTTTCTTATTATGTAAGTTATCAGTTCCATAAATTTTATAAGATTTTATATTAATATATTAATTGGGCCACACTGGTTTTAATGGATTTCCTACTCATATCACTGCTAATTCACTGTAATGTTCCCAACAAAGATCTTCTTGCAATTCTGTACAATTCCAGATAGTAAAATTAATCCTCTGCCTGTCGCAAAAATACTTGTAACATTGATGCCTCCTGTAACCTGCAATAGTTACAAGTGATGATTGTCACTGGATTTTATATAAATGAACCATAAATATTTTCCTGACATCCTTTCCTGTTTTCCTGTGTTAATTCTGTTTCTTAAGTAGATGAGGCTCGGCCACCATTGTTTCCAGAAGAGAACCATTGCGGCTTACCTGCTCAGCATCTCAGGGTTGGTCGCTGTCTTGGTTACTTTTCTTTCCTTGCTGGGACAAAACACCCAACGCCCAAAGTGAAAGGATGAAAAGTTTATTTAGCTCACTGCTTGTGGAGGTTTCAGTCCATCATCAGCTGGCTCCAAGGCAGGTGGCACAGTGAGGGGCAACACTTTGAGGCAGCAGCCAGAGCAAAAGGTGGGGAAGAAGCAAGCCTCTTTTCCTTCCTTACATTGTACACAGTACTCTCTCCTTGCAGGGCAGGTATAGCACTCAAAAAATCTCCTTGCCCTCCTTTGCACAGGATGAGGATGTTTACAAAGTAACAGCCCTGGCTCCTGGCTGATTCTCTCAGTTAAACTTCTAAACTGCTCAAGCTGACACAAGTATCAACCCCAACAGTCACTAACTTCTCAGCACTCTCACACTCCCCTACACACCTGCCTGGATCCGCAGGGCCCTGTTGTGTTCTTGCTGATCCGAAAGTCACCACCAGACGCCCACATAAAGCCCCCCTGCCCTTCTCCAGCACTGCCTCCCTAAGCCCCCCCTGGGCCGGCTCCACTGCCCAGTTATGCTTCCGGCTGGCCCACGTGTGTTAAGAGGACCGACTTATGCTGGGTATACCTTATAATACTTTTCTCATGTATTTTCATTACCCTCAAAATGTATATGCAACATGGAAAATTATTATCTTAAAAAAGTGATTCTCCGCATTATGGAAAAAAGTATCACCATCAAAGGGTCCATTACCCCCAAAGAGTTTCCTAGCCCCAGTGATCACGTGGTTCATGCCAGGCCCACATCCTCGCCTGCCTGCAGGGGGAGCATGTCACTGGCTGGTGGTCCTTTAGGGACACTGTAGACAGATGGCCATAGATGGTGGCCTCAAGCATTGCATTCATACCCTGTAAGACCTTGTGAAGCACGTGATTGTTCAAGCTTTTATGAGAATCTTCCTGTTGCATTTCTAGGCCCTCAAAACAATGTTAAATCTTCCTAGAAATTAATACACCCAACCTGTGTTGCCTCCTGGAGCTCATGTAGCGTTCCATAGCGGTCTGCCGGCCTCGTACCGCCTCTCGGAGTCACAGTGTCCATCACTGTCTCCCCAACGTGCACTCAGCTGTGAGCTAGGAGGTGCTCGCCTGCAGAGAGCGCGGTTTCCTCTTCTGGCCTCCTTGCTCGGGCCTGGCCAAGCTCCCACTGCAGCTCTGGCCACCAGCAGAGCACCTGGGGTTTGCTTCCCGAGCTCACCTGTGGTTTGCTTTTCAAACCAAAGCAGAGAGCACATTCTCTGGACTCCGTTTTTCCTTCCTGCGCATTCCTGCTCCGTCCTCTGCAGCCAGGCAGGCTTCGCCCTGCTGAGACCGAGCCAGCAGGTGGCGCTGCTCTGCTCTTGTGGGAGCCCTCTGCAGACTCTTCCTCGTTGCTGTGCTCTCCTCCATTGCTTTCCGAATCTCCCGCCTCTCAGCTCAATAATTAAATATTACTCTGCTTCCGGGGACCTGTTCAGAGTCCTTTTCTCCTCCGACACACACATTATCTGCCGTTAATCTTCCCAGTTCAATAATTCCAAATGTCATGTGTGTGTTTTTGAGCCTCTGAGGCTGAGATTTGAGACCTCCTACTTTTCTCTAATCTCAACACACAGAGTTTGCAGCAAGCCTTAATTCCCATGCACTCCAGTCCTGCGCATCCCCAGCTTCTCCCGCCCCTAAAAATGCCAATACCAGTAGTACAGCGGCTTAAGCTGAACTCTGGAGAGTGTTCTCTGCTTCATTTACCCTTCCAGGTTCTGCTGGATTGCTGTGCACACTTCCCACAAATAAAACCAGCAAGGCTGCACTGCTTCAGATCCTTAGCATTCTTTTAAAATTTTGTTTTATTTTATTCTTTTAAAGTTTAGTTTATTTTAAAGAGAAAAAAATGACACAAAACTTCAAAACAATATAGGAGAGTAACAATGGTTAATACACTGCATATTGCTATCCTCAAAATAGCTTCTTATATGGTAAGATATAGGCATGAAAACTCGATCAAACAATACTGGCACAAATATTTCTTTTCAATGAACTAATAGAAATTATAGTATAACTATATTAACTGTCTTATATGGCTATAGATATATAGGCATATAGATATTTCTTTCCTCTTCCTTCTTTCTTCCTTTCCTCCATCCCAGTTTCTCTTTCTTTTTGAACATTTTCTTTTCATTTCATGATACTTATTGTACATTTTGGATCTTAT